ACACCTTAGAAACTTATTCCTGAATTCCCTTCCTTGGTCCGTCAATATCGTCTTCGGGACTCCATATTGCAGGAAGATTCGATAAATACTCTTAGCAACAGCTTCTGCGGTTTTATCTGGGAGTGCTTCCACTACCGCAAAACACAAAGCACTTCCTCGACTTCCCTCATCGAGTTCCGGTGTTGAATCTGTTTGTAGAGTAACTCTTGATCCATAAACAAGTCCTTTACCTCCAAATTCGGATCCACCTTCTTCCGATTGATTTCAGTCTTGTCCTTGAAATACCTAATGACAGGTCCATACAGAGGATCTTGTCTCTGCTCTCTGATCATCTCTTCTAATGACCACGGCGGTTCATCTTCCTCCTCCTCCTGTTCCTCTTCAGGCATTTCTCCTGACGAATCAACTGCCATAATGCGGACAATTTGACAGTTTTCTGCTTCGTCGATGATCATTTGTGAGGTACGTTCCACTTTCTCGGCCTCTACTCCCTCAGGAACTTCAATCCTGGATAGAGCATCTGCAGCGGCATTGAGCTTTCCTGGATGGTACATAATTTTTACCCCAAAGGATTGAGCAGTTTGAGCCCATCTCGTAACTCTCGCATTGCCATCCTTTGCTTTGTGGAACAACCAGTGAAGTGATCTGTTGTCAGACAGAACCACTACTTCCAACCCCCACACAAAGGGTTTAAACTTTTTTAATGCTTCTATTATGGCTAGAGCCTCTTTCTCCATCGTAGTATACCTACTTTCAGCTTCCTTCAGCTGACGGCTATAGTATGCAACAGGGCAAAAATGGCCCTCATACCTTTGCGCAAGCACTGCACCAATAGCTCCTTGACTGGCGTCTGTACTTAGGTACCAAGTCTTCCTGAAATCAGGCGCTTTAAGTACTGGTTCCGTTACCAAGTTTTCCTTAAGAACATTGAATGCTTCTTCCTGTTCATCACCCCAGATGAAAGGATTTTTCTCCGAAGTTAATTTCGTCAGAGCATTCGCTTTCTTGGCATATCCATCAACAAATCTTCTGTAATAGCCACTTAACCCTAAAAATCTCCGTACCTCTTTATGGTTTTTGGGTCTTGGGAAATTTCTTACTGCGGCTAATTTGTCTAGCGCAGGTTTCACATTCCCTTGTCCTACTCTATGTCCAAGAAGATTAACTTCCTTTTGGAATAGATGTGATTTTTCAGGACTGGCCTTCAGCCCCGCCTGTATCAATCTCTGTAAAGCTTCTGCCAATATGGATAAGTGAGTTTTAATATCATCACTATATATTGCAATATCATCCAAAAATAATTGCAATCCTTTTCCAACCTGACCACTGAACACTCTGTTCATTAATCTCTGAAATGTCCTTGGAGCATTGGACAATCCAAATGGCATAACATTATACTCATAATGTCCTAGGTGCGTAGAGAATGCGGATCTCTCTTTAGAGTCCTCGTCTAGTGGCACCTGGTGATATCCACTCCTTAAATCTAGTGTGGAATACCACTTACTTTGACTAACTTGATACAAGATATCCTCAATTAGAGGTAAGGGATAAAATTCCGGTCTCGTTTTAGCATTCAGAGCCCGGTAATCCACAGACAACCTTGGATGTGAATTATCCTTCCTCTTCACCAAGACAATTGGAGCATTCCATTCTGATGAACTAACCCTTATGTGACCTTGATCCATCAAGGCTTGGACCTCTGCCTCCACAGATGGTCGTACTGCATAGGGAATAAACCTGAGTGGAATATACACCTTTCCTTCATCGACTGTATCTATTTGATGAGAAACCAAGTTTGTTTTCCCCAGTGGATCCTCCCTCAAATTAAAGGCTACCTGAAAGTCTCGCAAAATCTTTTCTGCATATTTCCTTTGGCTTGTAGATAATTCCCAATTATCCGCCCTTAATTCTCTCAATAACTTCTAAAAGCGATCCTCAGTGAGAATTGGGTCCTGCCCTACTTTCACCTGCCAAGGGTCGATCTGGAGTGCCTGTTCCAATGGGTCATCGTCTTCATCTCCATTGTCTGGTAGTTCCGTTATCACAGCATTTATTGGTAATTTAGCAAACACTTTTTGCTTTTCAATGTGACCTTTGCCTAGGTTTCCCCACAGTTCCACTTCTGCATCTTCCATAGGGAATGCCTGGGCTATCCTCCGTTTTTGGTGGATTAATACTGGTACTCTTCCCCAGTTACAAGCTAGGACTTTCACCTGATCCTCTGCTTTGCATATAACAGGAATGATAACAAAATCCTCCTGTAATGGATTTCCTTTTACCATTATTGGGATTCCATTCTGCATTTTTCCACCTTTCCTTTTAAGACATCCTGCTAATACAGCTGCCTTACCTGGAGGTACAGTGACAGTTTCCAACGAAACCACTGCATATTCCTGAGAGTTACTTTGATCCTCTGCTAAATCTACCTTAGATTCTTTGCTCTGGTCCTCCATACTCTCATCCACCTGGTGACTCCCTGCCACCTTAGGTGCTTGAACCGGTTTGTGTCCCTCCTGGTTTACCATACCTTTCTGCAGGACTTTAGATCCTTGACAAATTCTCCATTTATCAAAATCTAATAGTAATTTATATTGGTGCATTAAGGACGAACCAACAAGAACATCACAATCCCCTGGAAAGTTAATGATCTCGTCCTGAAATACATAGCACCTATGAGAGAATACTTTTCCTCCCATTTTGAAGGTCATTTGGGCCTCCCCCAGTGCCTTCACCGGTTCTCCCTCAAGTATTCCACTTACGAGCAGTTCACGTGGTTCAAGCGGAGAAGGAAGGTTCCTTGGATCTTTTTGGTCCCTCTCTTTCACCTCCTCCTGCTCCCGGTACATAGAATACTTAACTAATGTTGGGCTCGCCCCGGAGTCCCAAACCGCAGTAAAAGACTTTTGACTATGAGGCACCTTCACCTTAGTCATTAGGTATCTGGGAAGAGAAGACGCTAACATAGGAATGATGAGGTGTTCAGCTCCTGCCCGTACCATTGTATCTTTTACTTTTGTTCCATGTTGTGGCCGTCCCTCTGGGACAGAGTCAAAGAGTTTTTTGACTCCCTGCCTGTGCCATAACCTCTCTTCTGTGTTTATGACCATATGGCCTTCTTCTTCACAGAGGAAACATTTAAGCTTCACAGGTTTCTTGGACCTGGTTCCTGTCGATGGCGCTGTACGTGGAGGTTGACCAACCTTGGTTCTTCCACTTGCTGGTGGTTCTTTCTTCTTCGAGCTCCAGCATCGGTCCTTAGGATGTGTTTTATTCCATCCATGGATATCACGGAAGTATTTACTTCCTTTCTGGCCAAAGGGATCTTTCTGAGATTCTCTCGGCTGCTCTTCCCTTATAACTGCCACCTGAGCCTTTCCAGTACCACCTGTTTTAAATCTAGGTGGGAGGGTCGACTGGAATTGTAGATCTTTATCTCGGTTCTTCTCCACCCATCTCCTAAAATCTGCCATGATTCGGTAGTATGGTATGGTCCTTAACTTCAGTATATCCCATCCTTCTCCTATTCTGTACTTATCCAAAGCACAGCCTACCATAGTTGTTGCCAAAGTCTTCATGGTTATGGAGAATGATATATCCTCGGAGAAAGGCCACACTCTTAAAAGGGTAAAATTCGCTTGGAGAGCTTTCTCGCTATTCTTCCATTCTTCGAAAGACTCGTCCCTATATCTCTGGGCGTCCGTTAGGCTGTCAAACCAATCCTTCTTCTCCTGGGCAAATTGAGCCAGAATGCCTTGCTTGAATTCCTCCCATGAAATATATTTTGCGGTCATCATCTGGGCAATCTTCTTTGCGTTCCCCTTGTCAGGGTGAATGTAACTGACTGCAAGATTTACCTTCGCAGCATCTCCCTGGGTTGCGGTCCGCTCTATTTCAGACTCGACCCGGGCAATCCATTCTCCTCCTGTCAGCTCGTCGTCGATTCCCTTGAACATAGGGACACATCGACTCCTCTGCACCATTTCCACTGGTACCGCCCGCGGAATCTGGCATCGCAGGTCGAGCTGCCTCTCGCTCATTAGCCCATTCAGCCGTTCCAGCTCTCTCCTCAGTTCTGCCATTTCCTGCTCCATTTCGTCAACTGTCTCTGCCCACGTTCGAGACTCTTGAAGAATGTTGCCTTTTCCTAGGGAACTGGAGGTTTCGGTAAGTTCACCTGGAGTCTGGTTCCCCCGCAATATCAAACGTTCTTCGTCGCTCCTGTCCGTGGAAGCAGTATCCCTTCGTTATGGTCTTCCTTGGACATGCACACTCACACTGTCTGGTAGTACTGTGTAAATTTCCAGTGTCCTAGGGATCCTTATCCCTTGAAGTTTAGTGTCTTATCGCTTCTGAGCCACAATCACTTTCTGGAATTACAAATCTCAGCCAGGCACACGGCCCTCGCAGCTTAACTTGCAAATTCCCACTTAAAAACAACAAGTCGAGTCAAGCCAACGGCTCTCGCAACTCTCTTCCGTTTTATTGTCTCTTTTTTTTCCAAAGTCACTTAACACAAGTACTACACAGGTATTCAATTTTTTCCAGAGTATAGAACACTTAATTATTACCTTTAAACCACTTAAATTGCGGAATCCAAAAATCAATGTAATATAAGAGATATGTATCCTGAAATGGTAGAAAAGCTTTGTTGTGTTATGTTAGTAAAACCTTTTTTACTCTATAATACACTTTAACACTTTCCCTGCAAGAAAACTATTAATGACCAATAATTATTTATAAACCACTTTAAAGCATTTTACGTTGCATGCACGAATAACTTATAAATTCAATCTGTAATTACATTGAGGAATATATTGTAAAAAGAATTAATAATCTTTTATTGAAAGTTCATGCATTCATGCGCTCCAGCTGCATAATAGTTATACATTTCACTTTAGCGGAGGCTCGATCCGCACTGATCTTTACTCCGCAGTCACCACTGTCAGACTAAAAAACTCCTCCCCTTTACGTCACGTCACGCTTCCCTCACGCGTTTGTGC